GTGACCGCAATATAGGTTTTTCGGGCGGTTGCAGACGGTATCTGTACCCATGAAAAGCTTTCGTTGATAATTCGATATGTATCATTTTTCTCCTCACGCGTCTCGAGCTATGCAACAACCGGCTGCGCCCTCACACCTCCTTCGGGTATTGCTGGTATAAAGCGTTAAACTCGGATTTAAATAAATTTCAGATTTTAGCTATGGGAAGATACGAGTGCTCAACTGCATTTTCAGTAGGCACGCAATAATTTAGTGCACTGTAAATTTAGTAGACTGTCGGGGTTGCCAGTGTCTGGCAATGACACAAAAGCTTCTTGCGAGTGTTTCCTTTCATTATTATTTGCGTTTAAAAAAAAACTATTCGTATAATACGCATTAATTTGTAATGTTTTAAACAATTACAAAATTCTAGAATACTATCTTGTGACAGCAGCTCCTTTAACAGAATATATTTTAGCGGAAATAGGGAGTTTTAGCAGATCGTTTTTTCGCCTCGATAACGACACCCGATAACGATACGATGCATGCCCAGGGCTGCCAGAAAGGAGAGGAGGTATCGTTATCGGAGCGAAAAAATGGATCTGCTAAAACTCTCTAATGATAGTTATTGAAAAGGAGCTTTAGGGCGTCGTTTGACAGGTGTATTGTAAAACACTCTGGTAATATTAGTCAGAAAGGTTGCGACCTTTACAGATTCACACCTGATTGTTCGCCACCATTATTATGTAAGGAATGAAGACAACGCTTATGCTATATAGTGATAGGCAATATGCCAGACGTATACGATGAATGCACGTTCTACAAATATATCACAAGAGAAAATAAAATCAAAATTGTGTTTAGGGTGGTGCAGCTAGCGCGAAAAATGAAGGCAGAATTCTTCTGGACGAATTAACAGGCAAATGTTTAGCATCGGCAATTTAGTCATAGCGTCCCGTTGCTGTCCTGATCATATCGCCGGGGTTTTGATGTCTTCGGGACGTGGAACCCTGGTAAGCTGAGAAATGTCAATACACCGCTGGATACGTCAGGTTCAGATGAGCGAGAGACGAAAGTTCGCGCGAGCTTGCGCGGTAGGTAGGTAGTAAACGTTTATTGGAAGAAACATTCGAACGGTCGCCCTAGGCGTGGTTCGAGGAGGGAACAGGTTCTGGGGAAGTCTTTGACGTGAAGGAACGGCCGTGCTCAGAACGTCGACTCCAGGCCCGTGTTTTCCAAGTACAGGAGCAATGAGTCCAGGATCAGTGCGATTCTGGCCGAGTCTCCCTCAGGCCGGGCCCAGCCTTCCAGGTTGGACGGCCTCGATGCAGGTGGAAGAAGACTAAGCGCTTTCTTTCTTTCGTTGGTGAAGTGACCGCACTCCCACACGAGGTGGTGCAGGTTTGCACTTAGGGTTTCTTTGCAGTAGGGACAGATCTCAGGCTGTTCCAGTGAATGTTGGCGTTGCATCTGTTGCGGCTGTGGCGGGGAGGCCGGCGGACTGGCTGTCGACACTGGCGGTCTGTTTCTGCCGATCTTGCCAGCACTCAGTTCCCACTTGCGTCGGTCGTGAGGGGTCACGGCACTGCCGGTCCTGATCCTGCGCAGAAGGACCATTTTCTTCCTGGAGTAGCGGCCGAGCGGGATGGGGTCGGGTTCGCGCGGGAGGGAGGCCAGGAGCCTCTTCTTTAAGTCTTGTCTGACCTTTCTCATTGCGTCTTCAGGGTCGTAGAGGGTCCGGTCTCTTGTCTCGTCTTGTTTCCTGGGGCCGGTCCTGCCAGAGTAGGCTGAAGTGCCGGGCAGGGAGTCCACACTTCGTGGCCGCGAAAGGAGAAACGTTGCTAGCGCTTCCGCGGACCGGTGAGCGGCCTCGCTGCCTGGCACTCCGGCATGGCCGGGGACCCAGTGTACAGTGGTTTTAACGTTCTTGCTCTCGAGGCGCCTGGCGAGTGCAAGAATGCGCCGGGTGGTCGGGCTGTTGGGGTCGTGCTTTCGGCATCTTCGTATGGCTTCCTGGGCGTCGGTGTAAATGTCCACCGTCTTCACGGGTGAGTTCAGGCTTTGGGTAACGTGTTCCAGGGCGTGAAGGATCGCCTGGGCTTCGGCTTCCTCGGGCGTTCCAGCGGTCTTAGTTTCGCGGCTCCATGACTTGTTTTGGCGGAGATCGTGCCAGGCCGTGGTGGTGACTAGATCCTTATGTGCTGCGTCTGTGTACAGCACGATGGTGGTGGGGTCTTCCAGTTTCGTGGTTACGACGGTCAGGTGCTTTTGGGCGTAGTCCCGGCGCCGTTCCGGTTGGTCCAGGCCCATATTCCGCGGTATAGGTGTGCTGGAGGCCACGTCTGCTATTTCCCACGGGGGGATTGGGCGGCCGAGTTTAGGAAGCGTGGACACGTCTTGTCGCAGGAGTCGTAGAATGGCCCTGCCCTGTCTAGTTTGTTGCAGTGAGACGAGGTGCAGTTCGTGCTGGTCCTTGGCTAAGTCCTGTAGTTTGGGAAGGGGAACGCACCTGTGTAGCTCCTCCAGTTTGGTGTGTCTCGGTAAGCCCGCAATAGTTCTTCGGGCGTCATTCTGCCATCTTTCAATTGCTCGCCAGTGACTCTTATTCAACTTGTAGTAGTTTGCTCCGTAAAGTACCTTGGAAGCTAGCACGGCCCGTATCAGGGTCTTGGCCACCTCCTCGCTCGCACCACCGGTCTTTTGGGCGATGCGGCGGACCAGTGCCGTGCCCTGTTTCCAAACCTTGGCCATCCTGGTTAGCCATTCTTTGGGGGACTTTCGTTGGTTGAAGAACACTCCCAGGATCTTGTGCGTCTCTGCTTGGGCGATGGGGAGACCACCAAAGGTCAAGTCGTGAGTTGGGTGGCCTTTGCGGGTAAATATCATGTATCTGGTTTTGTCTGGTGACGGGGAGAGTCCGGTCTCTTTGAGGAATGCTTCAATGGTGTCCAGTCCTTTCTGAAGGGTCTGCTCCCTCCTCGCCGGGTTCCCACTTGTCGTCCAGATGGTGATATCGTCTGCGTATATGGTGAACTTCAAGGTGGAAATCTTGTTCAAGCGCCACGCCAGCGGGGCCATTGCCAGGTTAAACAGGATTGGGGAGATCACCGCGCCCTGGGGCACACCAATATTGTTGTTCCTTAGAGGTCCGCATATGTCGCCAGTCTTGATGGAGTACTTCCTTTGTTTCAGAAACCCCTTCACAAAGTTGAGGGGCTTGTGGGTGATGCCACCTTCTCGGAGTGCCTTTACGATCGCTTCGTGGGGTAGCAAGTCGAATGCCTTACAGATGTCGACCGCGACTAGCGAGCAGGTGCTTCCCTTGCGGTAGACGTCTGTAGACAGAAGTAGGAGGCTGTCTCTCGTACCCAAATGTTGTCGGAAGCCCGTTTGTGCCGCGTGGAAGAGCTTGCGGTCCTCGGCGATCCAGGTGATGCGTGCTAGGACGATCCTCTCAAACAGCTTGCACATTACCGAGGTCAGGGATATAGGCCGGGTATTCTTCGGTGTGTTCGGGGGTTTACCCGCTTTCGGGATCGGGGTGACCCACGACTCATGCCATTCGTCCGGGAAGGTGTCGGTTTCCCACATGTGGTTGAACCAGCGAAGGACTTGCTGCTTTCCTTCTTCGGGTAGGTTCCGCAGCATGCTCGCGGTGATGCCGTCTGGGCCGGGAGCAGACTTTATTCTCCCTTGGTCAATAGCGGTCTCAAGCTCCCATCGGGTGATCGGGGTGTTCCACGGAGGGGGGTCTTTCGGTGCTTGTTCTAGAGTGTAGATTGCTGCATTCGGGGTCGTCGAGGGTTGGGGGAAGAAGGCTTTTCCCATGTCTTCAAGTACGTCCTCGAGGGGCTTGTCCAGGGCTAGGGCCATGTTTTCTATCGTGTTGCGGACCTTGGTGATACCGAGCATGCCTCGGAAGGTGCGCCACAGCTTGCGTATCGACGTACGCTGGTCAAAGGAAGCGCAATGGTCGAGCCACTCGTTCACTCTGAGCTTTCGTGCATATTCCTCTGCTTCGGCGGTGATTCTGTTCACTTCCTTCAGTGTGTTCCGGTCTTTGGTTTTTCTGTACTCTGTGAGTTTGCGCGTGCGGTGGTCCCACAGGGATAGGAGGTGGGTGTCCGGTGTGGAGCAGTCCCAGTTCACCTCCTTCTTGGTCGAGGCTTCCCTCGTGGAGGCTACTAGCAAGGCGCAGAGTTTTGTCGACATGTCGTTTTCGTCAATTTGGGCGCGTAAAAGGGCTCTGAATTTGTCCCAGAGGACTGTGACCACAGTTTTCTTGGCCTTGGCCCTGTTCTTGATACGGATCGATATTTCTATGGGGTAGTGGTCGCTGCCCCACGCGTCGGGGAACACCGACCACTCCATCCCCTCGATTCTTGAGTCCACTAAGGTTAGGTCGGGGTTGGTGTCCTGCTGGTTGGCCGAGGTGCCTACTCTCGTCTTTTCATGCGTGTCGTTCGCGAGCTCGAGACCCGCCTTCTCGTAAGCTTCTAGTAATCTGGCCCCTCTCTGGTCATCGTCGTCGTAGCCCCACTCCCGGTGGTGCGCATTAAAATCGCCGCCTATGACCATCCTATCGTCTGGGTAGACCGTTCGTAACTCTTCTATCCAACTGAAGTTGGGGTCTTCGGCGGTAGGGCGGACGTACGCCGACACGAGGATGAGCTTATGGTTGTCTATGAGTGTGCGCACCGCAGTGACTTCCTGGTCTGGTGTGCACCATTTCTGCGTATCAATTTGGGCATGTGGTACGGTCCCCTTGAGGTAGAAGGTGGCCAGTCCTCGTGCTTCAGGAGGGCCGGTCTTTGTATATTTCCGTTCGATCGCAGGGTTGTGGAAGTAGTTGTATGCGGAGAGTCTGGGGTCCTTCACGTTGGTTTCTTGCATCAAGATCGCGTCGTACGAGTGTCGGTGTTGAGCCAGTCGAAGCTGGAATTCGTTTTTGCGTTTGGTCAGGCTTCTGCAGTTCCATTGTAGGATTCGAAGTTGTGTCGGAACCAAGGGCGAGGCTAGTGACGGCATGAATTTCCTGGGGCCTTGAGTTTGCTGGTTATGAGGACTGCTGGTGTGACTGCTGCGTGGATCCCCCTTGTTCCGCGGCTTATTGTCCAGGGACATTAACGGTGAGGATGGGCTGACGTAGTTGGAACTGCGGCGGTGCCGGCGGGGTGGGGGCAAGGGTTGAGTGTTGGAGCTCGGCTATGAGTTGATTGAAGTGGGCCTGCATTTGCTGCTGCATTTGCTGCTGGAGTTGTACTTGCATTTGTTGCAGCCAGACTTGCATTTGGGACTTGAGGTCACCTTGAGATGGTGGAGGCTGGGATTGCTCCTGCTGTGGTTGCTTGTTGCTTGCTGGAGGGGGTGCGGGGTGGTTTGCCTGTGATCGCGGCGTGTCTCGCAGAGGTGGTTGCGGGCTTGGGTGAGCTTGCGGCTGGCTCGACACTTGATGCTGGGGGCCCGGCTGGAAATTGACTTCCAGTTCTTCTATCTTTTTTTGTAGGGTAGCCATTTTTCGTCGGCGGTCGGCAGCTATGCGTGCGTGCTCTGCTTCCTCCTCCTTATACCGCCTTAAGAGGGTGAGAAGCTCGTTGCGTTGGTCCATGAGCGGCGTGGTTGATGGGGTTCTGCAGTTGCGAGGCGTGGCTTTATATGCGTACGTGTCTTGCGGTGGCGCTGGCTGGTCAGTAATGTTTTCAGTCGATCGGGGCGATGGGTTTTTGGTCTGCTTGGAGGAGGGCGGGGCTCGCCCGTCTCCTGAATGGGGGGTCTGGGCTTGCCTTCCCGACTTTGGCTGCTGTGGTAGAGGATCAGGAGTTTGGCCTTGGTTTCCCACTGCTATTCGCCGGCGATGCAGTTGTTGGTTCAAGGCCGGGCGTGGTCGGGCACGGGCTTGGATCCTAGAGTCTACCTTTTTCCTCTCTGGACAGTCCCGGGAGGTGGCGACGTGGTCTTGGGAGCCGCAGTTGCGACACTTGACTGACTCACAGCGGTGTCCTTCGGTCAGAAGACCGTCGCAGGACTGGCAGCGCTTTTCCTGCGTGCAGATGTCGGACTTGTGGCCCAGGCCGTGACAGTTGTTGCAGACCACCGTGGAGGGGCGGTACGGCTTGACTTGTATGATCTCGTGCCAGGCGCGGATGCGGCGGGGTACACCCTGGCCTTGGAAGGTCAGAAGGTATGTGCCGTTGGATCCCAGCGGCCTGGCCTGAACAATCTCATGGTAGTCGGCTCGAAGCCCCTCGAGGAGTTTCGCCGGTGGGATGTCGGGTGTCAGATGAACGACCCCGCGTGGGAATTCCCTGGTGGCCGTTCGGTAGACTTGGACGTCGACTGTGCCGCTGCCTGTCTCAAGGTGCGTGAGCTGAAGTAGATTTGCTAGGTGTCGTTCGTCGTAAACGGTGACGGATATTGTATTCGTCATTCCGTTGCGGCGGTAGGCGAGGCGATCTTCGAGAACGGTCTCGCCTATTGCTCTTTGAAGTTGTTCTCCGATGAGATAGCTCGGGAGTTTTGAGACGTCGACGCGGGCCCGTGGGCGGATGGTGACTTGATATTTGTCCAGGTCGTGACGGGGTAGTTTGCTGCCTTTGTCCGGCTTGTTGATCCTCTTCCTCCGGGATACGGTGATCCAGGGGAACTGATTGTCGGAGTCGGTGAAATCGGCGGAAGCATCTTGGCCGTCCTCGAAATCCGTCGGGCTGCGCTCGGAGCATTCGCTCTCGTTGCGGGCTCTCTTTGGGGGGAGCCTGTTCGTGATGGTGGTGGCGGGAGTTCCTTGCTTGGATGTTGTCAGCGTTTCGTCGGGTGGCGAAGATGCGTCGGGTGTCATTTCGGTGTCGGGGGAGGCCGGTAGTTCCGTGCTGGAGGCGGTAGCCATCGTAGCCGAAGGCAGGGCGAGCTAGGCCTAATGGTAGGCCCAGCCTTCCCACTGGCCGGGAACGGCGGCGGCGTCGATGTCGGAGGCTTCGGAAAAAAAATGCGGCTGTGACGCTCACTTGCCTTCGGGCAGCTCTTTCCGGTGGCGAGCGAAGTTTTCCGGCGGAAAAACGTAGCTCGGGTCCTGGTTCGGGCGGGCGAGCGGCGGGCAGGGGCGATTCATGCAGCTCGGCGGGAGCGCCGAGAAACACGACTCACTCCCACGGCGGCTCAATCGCAAGTCCCGAGCTTGCGCGGGTTGCATCGTGCGCAAATCATTTTGTTGACACGACAGCCACAGAATGGCGCTTCCGAAACAGTTTCGCGGAAAAGCACTTGTGCAGGGTCGTGCAGGGGTAAAAAAAATGGGGCGTGTCTATGCTTATAAAGCCTAGAACTTATACCCGTGCCACACGGGCAACTCGAACGCCATTTACAACGAATGACATTCGCCCCAAATGTCATTCGACTGGTGCTACACGGCCTGCACGAATGGCATTCGCTGCAAATGGCATTTCCCCCGAAGGGATTCGGCGGAACTCATTCGCATTCGGTCACGGGCGAAATGTGTAGCCTCTACCCCAGGCCCCAAGTAAAAAAACACCAACGTGATTACGTTAATCAAAGTATACCCGAACTATAAGTTATTTATTTGTGTTTGTTTTTATGTAGGCATTTTTTATACTACATTTGAAGCGCGGCTTGTCACATAACTGCAGAACCCAGGGATCCTGGGTTCGAGCCCCACCCCTGCCCGTTTCGATCTGGATGAGCATCGTACCGGCGTGCGGTCGTGTATCACTACTGCGTGATGCGCGTTAAAGACCCCAGGCTAGCGGCTGTACCGCACTGGCTAAATTTCTCATCTACAGCTGGGAGACTCGTCGCCCCTGTGAGGCAGACCAAGTTCTAGGCTGTATAAACACACACACAACCCAATTTTTTTTTGTCACATAATTGCGAGCGGGTACTCTTTAACCCAGTAGACATATCCACTTCGCCTGCGTCGCCATCTTTTTCGCGTTTCTTCTCGGTTTGGTTGCGTTTTGTTCGAATTTCGAAGTTTCTTCCGATGGAGCCGCAAGCGCCGCAAGCAGCCGTGATCGGTGCACTGGGCGGTGCGCAGCGAAAGCAGCAGCCAGAGCCACGGAGTTCGAGAGCAGCTGCTCTTCGATTTTACGAACGCGAGAGTGAGCGTCTTCAGCTCCGGCTTCGAGCCTTTGCTGCTCGGCACGGTGCTTGGCGCGTAAACCGTTTACTGTCCTCCGGTGCAAGGACCGACACTCGCGACTGTACAGGCCCCATTTCCTTTCGCTTTGGTCAGCTTTTGTTTTTGTCACTGGGCGCCATATTTGTGGGTGCTGTCTAGAGCGCATGCTCAAAACGAGTCCCCTTTAATAGGTTCAGCACGCGCTCAGCAGTCGCGCACAGAGCTATGGCCACCAGTGAATACTTCCTACTGCGGTACAGCAACTGGAGCGTCACCAGCAAATGAATTACAGCGGAAACGCAAAAAACATGAAGTAATTGACTGCAAAATTTCTTTAAAACTACATATAGACACTTTTTAGATATCATAATCTTGAACAAACGTATTTAGCTTACAAAAAAAAAACAACTTTACAATTAGTTTTCTTCAGAGAGCAGGCGCTGTCATCATCATGGCGCAAAATGACATTCGAAATGTACGTGTAGCACGGGCTTTAAATGTAATGTCATTCAGCGCCCGAATGAGGTTCGCCCTGAATGGCATTTGCCATGTCCGTGTGTCACGGGTATTAGTCTGCCTCAACGGGCGACTTGTTTCCCAGCTGTAGATGAGAAACAAAACGAAGTCTGCGGATTTAGTATTTTCTCGGGCATTATCTTCTCGCTTCCAGTTCCTATTACCACAAATGCAGGTACCAAGCAAAATTCGAGCATACACCGGAGAGGACGAATTAATATTTTTATGCTGGTGCATCAATCTTTACAATGCTCTTACTTGACTCTGCTTCCTCGTGATATACCTGTAATAAAGTTTTTCAGACAGAGACTTCCTGCGAAGTTGAGCATGGTTTTCACCGCATAGCTGGATAACGAGCGCCACCACACGAAAACCACAAGCCCTATTTGCCCGGCCTCTTCCTACGACACGTGCTCCCTATTGACAGGCATAGCGAAGCTTAGGAGGCTCTGCTATAACTGATATAATGCTCACTACCAAGAGACCGCGTATACAATTGTTACACTTGCCATTTCATGGTATCTTTTGCGCACGTCACTGTGCAGTATTTTCAGATAGACCATAACAGTGCGTAATTTTCGAAAGGGTCCGTAGTCATTCAAAAGAATCGTGTAGCGTAGGCACGGCACCTGCTGCGCCTTTTTGTTAATTTTCAGCGTCCCTGCCGAGCACGCGCGCTCGTGTAGTGCAAGCATCACTCAGGTAGAATTCTGGGCAGCATGCTCGAGCTTGTAGCTTTGGCTTCGCTCGCGCATAAAGCGAAACAGCCTATGAAGCGCTTTCTTACTTGCACTCCGACCTCCTGGTGGACGACGGGTCCACTAAAAAAAGAAGACAGCTGCGACGCGACGACTGCAGCCGCCGAGTGTGGTTCGGCCTGGTTCGGCCGCCATGGCGACGACGGCTTTGACAACCGCAGCTCCGAGCTCAGCTGCAATAACTCAGCTGACGTTCGACGCCCCGAAGGGAGGCAACAGTCCATGGATGAGCGACAGGGGGCGAGGATTTGTGGATGAAATATCGTCGGTGCCCAGTGACGCCCTACTTCTGGAGGAACTGTACCGCGAGCCTTCGTTCAGCACGCTCAACACGCACTTCGACGATAAGCAACCCAACGTGGGCAAGGTAACACTTTTCCTCTGGGTAATTGAGGGTCTGGTGGTTCTCACGTTTCTCATAGTGATACCACTGTGCGCCTGCGGCTTTCTGCGTTCCGAAGATGGTTCGGGAAGCCTGATCGCCTTCATAGGAGCCGATGCTGTGTTAATAATTTGCGCCGTGGGGCATATGCTTTGCCTGTTGTCTCAAGTAGGCACACGCTCCGGCATGATGAGCTGTCTTAAGGACTACGCAGTCGAGGCATACGAATGGATCTTCCAAACGCTGACTTTGTACGTGAGCTACACCAGCCGCGACATAGTGCTCGGCCTAGGCCCAAATCCTCCGCAGGCGAAGAAGCTACAGTTGGAGCAGGAGCAGAACCAGACGCTGGATGAACTGGGCTACCTTCGCGGGAATGTGAGCGACTGGGAGGAACGCTACGGTGCATACGCAGGCCTCTCAAACATGATAAGCATGTACCTTCTGCTGCCCATGGTGGTTCTGGCGTTCGCTATCGCGGTTGTGACGTGTGCTGCGTTGGTGTCTTGCGCCTGCTGGGGATCACGCCAAGACACTAAGTCGGGAAGTTTGCTGGACAGGCCCCAGACGCTCCCCGGTCTGCTGCTGCTTGGAACGACGCTGCTGCTGCTGCACATGGCTGTTGGTCTTCCCCTGCTCACCTATCTGCTTCCTTTGTCTGTTCTCTCGGAGACATATGTGTGTTCGCCCTACCGCGACTCTGACTACAGGGTGCTGGATGACGCCACCGAGCGCCTCTGGTCCAACGAGACACGGGTGGACCCGTATTGCCGTCTGTCGCCCGGCGTGGTGATGGACAAATGCAGAGTCAAAGGTAAAACGTCGATACTCTCGCTGACCCCTTGTCCGTCGGCGCGTAATATCACCCGTCCGCCTCGATTGGGTGCTAAAAAGGGACGGCTGACGGGCGACTGCTGGTACGTGTCCCAAGTGGTGTCAACAGGAATGGACGTTGCCTGCCCCCTCTTCTCGGATGAATTGGCCGGACATTTGGCAGCACTGGCCATCGCGATCATTCTCAGCTTTCTGGCCATCCCGGCTGCCTTAGTCTTGGTGTATATCTTCCTCAGCAGCCAGGTGGCGGCGCGAAATAGACGTAAAATTGTCAACCGTAGGGTAGTTCGCAGAAGGCGTCGGAAACCCAGGTCTGAAACTCCACCACCACCGCCGCCTCCGCCGCCCCCACCGCCCCCGCCACCACCACCCCCGCCTCCTCCGCCAGCGCCTCCGTCTGAGACGACCATAATCGAGGTGCCCGTTCCAGTGCCGTTTCCTGTACCCGCACCGCCTCGCAGGTGCCGACGACCACCGCCCCCACCTTGTCGCCAACCGTCGATAGTTATACTGGCGCCTCCTGCACCGTCACCACCACTGCCTCCCTCTTTTTTGATTCCTCCACCAATAATGGCCCCACCCTTCATGATGCCACCTTTCATGCCACCTCCAATGATGATGATGCCGCCACTGCTACCATCTCCACCGCCGCCTCCACCCCAGACCTTGCCGCCGTTACCAAGTATCATGCCCGCAGGATCAGCCGAGAACCAACAGTCGGCACTGTCCTTTACAAACGTCAACTTCTACGGTAGTGCGCCAGGTAGCGGAGGGCCCTCCTACCCGTATCCATACCAATACTCGTCGGTACAGCCCTACTCCATGGTGCCCTATCCGTCAGCGCAGCTGTCTTCACCAACAACCATAAGCATGCCACCATCCGGCATGCCCAGTACTGGTTTTCCCAATGCGTTGACCTGCGCTCCGGGTAGCCCGCCGCGACTTGGCAGCAGGAATCTGGTACGACGCGTATCCTCCGTCGTACGATCGGAAAGCATCGCCCCAGGGCCGTGCTAACCTGACGTGGAACCACGTGGTCATGCAGGTCGCAAGACGGCTACCGAGGTCATCTGCAGGGATATAATTGAAAGCCTCCGACGTCCCTGCTTCCGGACATCCTGCCACAGAAGTGTCTCGCACCTCTAGGGTGCCGAAGAAAGAGCCAGGCTCCATGGTTCCTGATAGCGTACCACAATCTGCACCTCGATGCATCGCAATGGCTGTCAATGACTCACTCTTTGATACGAGCAGTTTAGGTATGA